GAAAATACCTGATTTTCTGGTGCCTGTTTAGTTGGTCCACCTCAGGCCTGTGAACTCCAAGGTTTCTGGACCCGTCGTGTTCCCCAGGGAAACAAACCCTGGGGAGATAAAACAACTAAAACTCTGTGTTTTGGGAGCCCAAACAAGTCCCTTTCCTTCTGTGGGACTGTGAGAGGGCCGTGGAACCAGTCCCTGCTGCTCCTCCTTGGGGCTTGTCCCAAATAAGCTGCACATCCTCCAAATAAGCTGCACATCCCTCTTGTCGGGTGAGTTGGGAAGTGCCCCCTGTGTCTGTGTCTGAGGAGAGCTGGCACTCCCCTGGCTCAAACCAGAGCCTGCTTTCTCCTCAGTGTTCCTTTGCCAGAGAGTTCTCCCTGGCAGTTGTAGAGCCACAAGCTGCTCTGGGAGCTGTGATGAATTTTGGGGGTTTTGGGATCCTCAGCAGGGAGGCTCCTCCTGCCCGTGGCAGAGCTGGGCTGGGGGTGTCCCCTCTGTGCCCACCCTCCCCTGGGTGCTGCCAGCTGCCCTCTCAGCCCTCAGCAGCAGGATGCAGTTCCTTGGGTTGTCTCCACACTGTTATTTCCCTGATTGAACCGGTGGAACTGCTCCCCTGGGGGGGATTTGTGCTGCTCCAGATGAGCTGTCCTGTGCCAGGGCATCTGTCCCCGTTCCTGGCACCAATTGCTCTGCAGGGTGGCTCTGATGGGCTGCTCCTCTTCTGATCTGAACTGGCACTTCCCTGGCTTTGTCAGGAGAGGAGATTGTCCCTGTCCCCTTCCCTGTGTCCAGGAGCTGGGATGTGGGGGGTGTTGTGTTGCCATCCCCGATCTGGGCTGCAGAGGAGCTCCCTTGTTTGATCCAACCCTCTCCACGTGGGGTTGGGGTTTGAGGAGGCTGCAGTGGGACACTCCCAGCTCCCATGGGATGGAGCTGTTGGGTGGGAGTTTGTCTTTCCAGGCTCTTTCCTTGCTCCCAAGGGGTGGAGCTTCAGGTGTGGCTGAACCTGCCCAGGCTCTGCTGTGTTTCACACTTTGGGGGGTGTAACCCTTTTTAGGGTCACAGCACTCACCCCTCATCCCTCTGGGGTGTCAGGACACTGTGGGGACAGTCCCATGCCAGGCTGTTCCCTGCTCCAGCCTGCAGCACTTGGCACAGGGCTCCAAACCCTGCAGCACAGGAGGGATGAGCTGCCAGAGCAGCACAGCAAAGGCACAGACAGAAACCACTGGGCTCATCTGGAGCTTTTGCCAAAACCCAGCAATTAAAGCTCCATCTTCCTGTGGCCACTGCCCCCATTCCCAAGGGGCTGCAGGGAGGGGGAGAGTTCTGTTCCCAATCCACGGGCACATGGGAGAGGATCTTCCTGCAGGACCTTGGAGCACCTCCTGGGCACAGATGTCTGCAGGATCCCTGGCAGACACAGCCCAGCCCTGTCCTGGTGTGGATCAGCAGCTCCCTGGAAGTTTAAGAAACTTTGAGTTGCTCCCAGGTGCTGTTTGAGTGGGTTTGGAACCTGCTCAGAGGCTCCTGCACAGCCTGGTTTAAATCAGTGATATTTTCCTCGAGTTTTGGTGCCCAAAACCTGCCTGCTTTTCATCCTTCTCGACTTCCTGCTGTCCCAACCCAGTTCAGCCATTCCACCAGAGTGAAATGAGGAGTTTGTTGCTCTGAAATCCAGGAACTCCTGGTTAATATTTGCTCCAAACTCCTTCCCTCACCTCCCACTTGCCGGAGGGTTTGGAGGAGGGAAATGCACCGTGGTGCAGATGTGTTTCTGCAGACACAGAAAGAGGAAAATGCAAAATATAAAGCACTTTGCTTCCCAGCTGGAGCAGTGCCCTGGGCTTCCAGCACTGTCAGCTCTTTGGGATGTGTGCTTCCCAAGTGAGGAATGCTGCTGATTAACCAGGCTCCTGCTGAGCTCCCGTTTTTCCACTCCATCACCAAGCCGTGCCTAGAGCAGGGATCTTCTTCAAAAGGGAAGGGAAGGAGAAAATCCACTCCTGTCTCCAAGCTCTCTCCCAAGTGGTCACAGTCTGTGGGAACAATATCTAAAAAAACTGAGAGAGAAGTCAGGAGTTTTTATTGTTTCCATGGAGACTGCAATTATTCTTACAGTGGTTTCCTGCTGGGTTTTCCAGCTCCTGTTCCCACGGTGTGACCTCTCCCTGGGGTCAGCCCTGGATCCTCATGTGCAGGGCTGGAGTGTCTGGGGACACCAGGTGTGGCCTCATGGGAGGAGAGAGGTGGTTTGTGGAGGAGCTGGATCTTTGGAAGGCAGAATAAAAGAGAAACAACTTGGGAGAGAGAAGATTTGGGTGAGACAACTGCAGGAATTGCTCCTGATGGAGGTGCTGGTGGAGAACTCTCGGGTTCCCCTGCGTTCAGCCCAACCTCAGGCATCACCCCCAGGGACATGGGACAGTGTCCCTGTGCCACATCCACCTGTCCCTCTCGACTTCCTGAGCTGGTCCTTCCCTGTTTTCCTGCTCTAAATCGAGGCAGAACCTGGATGATGGTTGTGATGACTTGAACAAGTCCCTCGTGCTGGGTCCTTCCTGCCTGTGCTCTCTGCTCTGTCCCTGCTGGCTTCTGCTGGGATTTATTCTGCTGCATTTAATGAAGGGATTTTTCTTATTGCCTTTGCAGTGCTTGGTCAGTAATAACAATTATTGACAAAGATCAGTGCGGGCTTTATGAACGGGACCCTGTGCCGTGCTCATAATGAAATGTCCTTTTCTAACATTTAAGAACAAGGGTAATAAATATTAATTCCAGGCTCGGAGGTCTCAGGGCTGTTCCCAGCTCAGGGATCCTGATGGACAGGCTGCAGGCAGCAGGGCTGACCCCTGTCATGTTGGGAATCACTGCTGGCTCCTCGGGGGCTTTTTGTTCCTCGCTGTCTCAGCAGCACAAACAGCACGAGCCAGGCAGTGCTGGGCTGTCTCCCACCTTCCCTGGCTCAAACCCTCCCTCTGACAGCTCTTCTCCCTGCCTGTGACATGTTGTTAAACAGCTCCTGCCTGGATCCTGGTGGCCAGCACTGCAGAGGGGCTGCTGTGGATCCCAGCCCTGCCCAGTGCAGCCCCAGAGCTGGAACGCCTCCTCACGGGGAAGAAAAACCCCCCTCAGCTTAAAAAGATGAAGGAAATTTGTCCTATCAGAGGCACCAGGATCTCTGTGAGGATCCCTCTGGACCAGCTGTGGCTTCCTGGGCTGGATGTTCCCCTTGGGAAGGTGCAGCCAAGCTCCTCTTCCCACCAAGGAGAGCTTGGACCTGGTTCTTGGCCTTTGTGCTGCAGCCCCAACTTGCCTTTCTGCTCACTGATCTTATGGCAACTCCAAGTCCTCATTTGCTCCTCTGCAGTGGAGACTTTTGGAGTTTCTTTTTTTTTATCAGCTCCTTTTTAATCTGTCACTTTGTTTTATCTAGCAAAGGTTAATTTTATATTCTTCCCTCGCCCTGCCTCTGCCTTCCCTTTGTCAGCAAGTTCTTTGTTGTTGTTATTTCGTGAGCTGAGCTGTGCTGCACCTCTCTCTGCCTGGCTGGTGGGATGCTGGAGGTCCTCTGGCTGAATGCTAATTTACCACTTGGGGTTTAAAAATTTATAGGAGACACCTCGTTCCTGGGAGGGCTTCCTGCCACTCAGCTGTTTCCCTGGGTGTGAATGCAATATTTCTTAGGCAGATTATACCCTGCTTATGCTGACAGAATTATTTGACAGCATCCCCTGATATTTCAGCAGCTTGTAAAGAGCCCAAATCCTGAGGATATTTTGCAGTTTGTTTTCTCTCTAATCTGTTCCCTTTGTTGCTGAGAGCAGGGAATAGATGGTGTGGCCTTGATAACGTCGTGGTAACTCCATTTCTTGGATCCCAACCCACCCAGTGCTGAAGGGAAGGCAGAGGGAAAATAACAGAGGGAGGGCTGAGCAGTGATCCAAATAATTGTATAAATGCCAAACTCAACCCAGGCTCATCCTCTGCTCAGTGTCCCTTTGCCAGGAATTAGGGAGATGTATGTTCCCAGTAATGGGTTTTACCAAGGGTGATGGGGGGGAAAAAAAGATGAGCAGAGCATCCATACATAAAATATCCCAAAGTCTGGGCAGGTACCACTTGAGAGGCAGCCTTGCTTTTCCAGGTTAATGGGCCTTGTCAGCTGCAATACAGTATATATTGAAAACCCTGGAGGGCTGAAGGTTTTTTTCCTACACACTCTTCCCCTCAACTCCACTTAAAGGAGGTTTGATTGTTTTCCTGGGAATTGCAGCCTGGCTGGAGGCCTCTTTTCGGGAACGTGCTGTCCCAGCAAAAGTCAGTGATTTATTTGTGATGGGAAGAGGAGTTTCCCCCTCCCCCTGGGGGAATTGTCCCAACCCCCTGGTGCTGGGGGCGAAACTTGGGAATGTTCTTGGGCTGCTCCTCCAAAGCCTTCCTTTCTCAGTGCTCACACAGGCCCAAAGAGCTGCCCAAGGACATAAATTGGCTCATGGCTCCTTCTCAAAGGACTCAGCAATTTATTGCTGAACCCCAGAAATATTTAATGCGGGATGGGCACGGTCTGGGTGGAAGGAGGTGTGTGAATGCAGTGGGGTCACACCTGGTGAGGAGCACGGGGGAAAAACTCATTTAGCAATGGGAAGTTCAGCTGAAAGGGCAGGGTTTATTTTTTTAAGCAAATCCTGAGAAGTCTGCACTGCCCTCAGAATTATCTGCAGTTGGCCCAGCAGTTTAAATCAAAAAGCTTGGCCATGGGCAGCAGCAGAGGAGAGGCTGGAGCTGTGCATGGAGTAAGGGCTGAGTCGGTTCCTTCCTCCAGGTTCTTGTGCCACAACAGAAGACCTTGCTGCAAACTCCAGCTTGGATTTTGTTTTGGTTTTATTTCGATCCCAACTTTTATTTTTTATTTTTATCCCGTTGGAATCAGCCCGACTCCCCAACCTATCCAGGTCCCTCTGCTGCCCGGTTGATGGTTCGGGGTTGTTTTTTTCTTGCAGTTTCCTGCTTTTTCAACTTCACCAGCCCGGCGGGGATCGTGCTGTCCCCCAACTACCCCGAGGAGTACGGCAGCAGCCTGCACTGCGTGTGGCTCATCATCGCCAGGCCCGAGAGCAGGATCCACCTGGCCTTCAACGACTTCGACGTGGAGCCCCAGTTTGATTTCCTGGCCGTGAAGGACGGCGGCACCGCCGAGTCCCCGGTGCTGGGCACCTTCTCAGGGAACCAGATCCCCTCCTCCCTGACCAGCAGCGGCCACGTGGCCAGGCTGGAGTTCCAGACCGACCACTCCATGGAGAAGAGAGGCTTCAACATCACCTTCACCAGTGAGTTTGCCCCCCTTTATTAATATTAAGTTGTTCTTTCATAGCTGCTTCTGAGCTACACAATTAGTTTTGAGTTGGCATGAGGGCAGCACACCCTGCCAGCAGTGCCCTCTGTGTGGTATGAAGGAATCCCAACCACACACCAAGTCAGAAAAGGTTGTTTCTTCTCTCTGAGGCCTCAGGAACACCCTAAATGCAGAGAAAGATAATGGCTGTGAAAATATGGAAATCTTACAGTGTAAGTAAGAGATAAACAAGTTTTAATCTCTCTCAAGCTAAAGCAGCAGAAAAACAAATCTACCTAGCACAGGAGTCTTGATGGACAGTCAAGGATGATATCATAGAATCATAGAATATGCTGAGATGGAAGGGACCCCTGAGGATCATAAAGTCCAACTCCTGGCCCTGCACAGGATATGCTGACAGCTGTCTTGTTTAGGACCTAAATGCTGAAATGTCCCCTGCAAACCCTCCTGGTTTGTATTTCACACTCTGAATTCTTGCTGGGAACTGGTGAGCTCACTTATAAAGCTGTTGGGATTCCAGAGGAAATCTGGAAAAGTGGGGATTACCTCAGATTTGCAGTTGGGTGATTGGGGATTGGTGGCAAGTTTAGAGCTGGTGGCACAAGTTCTTGTCCAGGAAAATAACCCAATGTGGCCCTGGGTTATGTGGCCCTGGAGCAGCCAGGATTTGTGTTCTCCCATCAGGAGATGTGTCCATGGCTTTACAAGAAGGCTGGAGAGGGACTTTGGGCAAGGATGGGTAGTGACAGGACAAGGGGAAGGGCCTTAAGCTGAAGGAGGGCAGGGTTAGATGGGATACTGGGAAGAAATCCTTCCCTGGGAGGGTGGGGAGGCCCTGGCACAGGTTGCCCAGAGGAGCTGTGGCTGCCCCATCCCTGGAAGTGTCCAAGGCCAGGTTGGAGCAGCCTGGGCTATGAAGGTGTCCCCGCCTTGGGGAGTGGAAGGAGATAACCCCTCCAAGCCAAAGCAGGCTGTGATTCTGGGATTCTCTGGGCTCCCTGCTCTGCCTCTGGGGTTGAGGGGATGCTCTGTGGGCAGCTCTGGGCTGGTTGTGTTCATCAGCCAACACCCCCCTCCTCTGCCCAGAGCTAAAAGAGATGCAAGGCTTTGAAGATGAAGGCAAACATGTAGCACTGCCTTATATAACATAAAGCCTTGAAATCTCCACAGATGGATTTGGCTCCACGTTAAGTCCAGTCTTCAAATCTCCAGTGAATGCCACGGCAATTTTACCCTCATATTGTCCTGTAATTTTCTAAAGAGCATTATTAAACCTATTCAGCAGAACTGATAAATGGCTTTGTTATAATGGCCTTTCGTGGCACAGCTAAATTAATAGCCTTTCTAGCCATGATTGCAAAGCCTTTATTTAAAAAAAAAAAAAAAAAAAAGGGAAAAATCAGAGGGCTTAAGAAAACATTTGCCAAACTTCAGCAGGCTGGAGGCTCCTCAGGTGAAGGGGTTTGTGTGAGGGGGTATCAGAGCCAGGATTGAGCCCCAGATCCTGTCAGGAGGGTGACACCTCACCCAGGAACTGGTGGTGCCCTTGGTGGTGTCCTCCCTGTGCATCTCCCATCCATCACCCACCCCTGGTGTATAAAGACATTTTTAAAACAATTTTTTACTGGTTTAAATGGCCTTTCAAGCGCAGAGGAATTAATTTGTTCTGACTGCTTGAAGTTCTGAACTGAGCTCTATCTCTATTTTGAGTATTTATAAATACATATATGTGTATTTTCATATTTGGAGATGTCTGAGGAGGTGACTTGGTCCTGCAGGCTCTTCTCTGACCCTGTCACTGCTGGATCTCAGCCCCTCTTGGGTCATGATCATCATCATCATCATCATGGCCAGGCTTTGGGAACGAAGATTTGGGGAGGGCTCAACTGGTTTTAACCTCATCCCTCCCCTCAGGCTGCAAAGAAAACACTTGGGAACTGAAAAAAACAAAGTTTGATGTTCAACCAGCTTGGTTTTGGGGCAGGGGTGGAGGGAAACGAGACGCTGACCCTTCCCTTGCCTCCCTCTTCCCCCCCTTCCCCAGCGTTCCGGCACAACGAGTGTCCCGACCCCGGCGTGCCGGTCAACGGGAAGCGCTTTGGGGACAGCCTCCAGCTGGGCAGCTCCGTGTCCTTCCTGTGTGACGAGGGTTTCATCCGCACCCACGGCTCCGAGACCGTCACCTGCGTCCTGCAGGAGGGCAACGTGGTGTGGAACCACCCCGTGCTCAGGTGTGAAGGTCAGTCCAGCTGCCCGGAGGGTCCCGGGGTGGTTTGGGCTGGGAGGGAGCTCAGAGAGCGTCCAGTGCCACCCCCTGCCCTGGGCAGGGACACCTCCCACTAGCACAGGTTGCTGCAAGCTGGCCTTGGGTGCTCACACGGATCCAGGGGCAGCCACAGCTTCTCTGGGCAACCTGTGCCAGGGCCTCCCCACCCTCCCAGGGAAGAGTTTCTCCTCAACATCCCACCCAAATCACAGAATCACAGAATCAGCTGGGTTGGAAGGGACCTCTGAGATCATCCAGTCCAACCCTTGATCCAACCTCGCCGTGGTTCCCAGCCCATGGCACTGATGCCACATCCAGTCCCATCTTAAAAACCTCCAGGGATGGAGAATCCACCCCCTCCCTGCCCAACCCATTCCAATGGCTGAGCACCCTCTCTGCAAAGAAATTCTTCCTAATCTCCAACCTAAACCTCCCCTGGCACAGCTTTAGACCCAGCCTGGAGGACCAGGATTTTCCCTGGCTCTGGAGGGTGTTGTCTCTGCACAGCAGAGTTTCCTCAGCAGGAAGTGCCAGTCCAATAATAACAAACCCCTGGTTTGTTTTCCAGGTTTTTTTTTTTGGGAAGTGAATGCCGGGGGTTTACTTTTATTGCTCAGTTCTTGTTACAACAGGTGTTTTTTTCTAATAACAGGAATAAAAGGTTTCTGATTTAGGGATGGCTGAAAGCTCCCCTGCTGCTCTTGTCAGGAGGGAATTAAAGAACAGGCAATGGAAGATCCGTGGTGGTGTTTTTATGTCCTGATTTTTTGAGACATGTAAAATGTAGGATGTTTATATAATGAAGGAAGTCCTGTCAATGGACTTTGGTGGTTGAGAGCTTGAAATTTTGCATTTACATCTCTTGGCCACCACAACCGACCCAGACGTGGGGGAGATGGGCTGAATTAAAGGCCCATATACAGATTTCAAAGCTTTTTTTTAGTCCTTTAAAGCTTCTACTCTGGAAAAAGAGAAGGGAAGAAAGAGCTCATTAGGAGTGGAAAGTCTTCCTCTGCCCTCTGTTCTCAGGGAAGTGATGCCCTGCACTGGTGTTTTCAGCAATTTGAGTAACAAGTGCTGTGCTCTTGAGAAATAGTCCTGGAATATTGAGCAATAATTTCAGTAATTGTCATGTGTTGCTCGAGTGGATGAGCAGCAGAAATTGCACAATCTTGCCCATTGTGTTTGAGGTGGAAAGAAGAAGGTGTCAGTTGTGTTCAACGAGTTTTATATAATAAGAAAACCGGACTTTTTATGTTCTTATATAATTTTTCTTCAGCTGACAAAAGGTAGATTTAATTCAGGGTTCCCATTACTTTCAAAGCACGAGCCTTTAAGTTTATATATTTTTAAGTATAGGCAGGAAACATACATTGAATAATACACTTTTAATCAACTTTTCTCTTTGGAAGCTTTGATAACCTTGTGCCATCAGCTTGTGCCTTTTCCTCTTGATCACAGTGGTGAGTTCTTTGACTCGCCCTTCAGTCTGCACTGGATAAGTGGACATTTTAATTACCCTTTTTAAACAAGGAGGAAGCACAGAGATCTAAAGTACTGTTTAGCACTTGAAAAAAATTTAATGGGAAAGAAAGAGACCTAAAAAAAAAAGGAGTTGAAAGATGGGGAGAAGCCCTGACAGGAGATGATGTGGCTTTGGGGCAGAAAGGAGCCTCTCGTTCAAAAATAATTGCTTTGGATCCAGTTGAGATCAAATGACTTTCATCTGCCTCCTTCACATCAGCAGGGGGGGGTTTAGGCCCAGACTGACATATTTTAGGTCACTCCCAGGGTGACATTGGGTGGCCCTTGGGCTGGCCCTGGGTCGGTGCTTCAGCAGCTGCTCCTCAGAGCTGGTCCCACAGGCCCCAAGGACAAGACCTGGCAGTTTTTTGAGGGCTGTGGGATTTTTCCACCTCTGATCCATCAGCTCCAGTGTCTCTTCTTTTTTTTTTCCCCCCCAGAAAATATAATAATAATATACCTTCAGCTTCTGCTGGTGGCACGAGGGACCACGGTGTGGAATAAATGCCGTGGTCTGGTGATGTCCCTCGTGGTAGAAAAGCCACGACTCAATTACCACAGGCAGGAAAGGATTTCTGGCACCTGCAGCTGCTGAAATGCAAACTGACCTTGCAGATTCCTCTGCTTTTATGTCTAACAATTATTATTACACCCTGTCCCCTCGGAGCCACTGCTCAAGGTCAGGCTGCTGGCTCCCCCAGGGACAGGAGCAGATTACTGTGTCTTCATTCTAAGCTGAAAAGGCAATTTCTTACCAGTTCCTGTTGGTGCTTCTGATTATTTTTAACAGGTGGGAGACAGCAGTGCATGAAAGCTTTGCATGGCAGGATGGCCCTGCCTTGGCAGGGAGGGAGCATCTGATGGTGCTGCAGCTTCTGTGCTGCTCTTCACCCAAATTTAAACACGTGCAGACGTGGCACTGAGGGACATGGTTTAGTGGGGGACTTGGCAGCGTTAGACTTGATAATATTAAGAGGTTTTTTCCAGCCTCTGTGGTGGCTGATTGTGTGAATTGTGCCATTTCCTTGTCCCCAGCACCCTGTGGTGGCCACCTGACATCGCCCAGTGGCACCATCCTGTCCCCTGGCTGGCCTGGCTTCTACAAGGACTCGCTGAGCTGTGCCTGGGTCATCGAGGCCCAGCCTGGCTACCCCATCAAGATCACCTTTGACAGGTGCTCCTCCAAACTCCCTCTCTGGGGGTGTTCTGGGTGGTTCCCGGGGGGTTGAGGTGCAGCCAAGGCGAGGAACGAGCTGCTCCGCGCGTGTCTGGCACTCAGGTCCTCTGCTCCCCTTTTTTATTTATCAACTGACAAGGCATTAAAATTCACCTGACATTCAAGTAGAAAAGGTGGGAAATAGTGATTTTTCCCCTGTTTTGACTCACTCCTGCTCCTCTGCAGTGTTATTTTAGGCACGGGTAGGACACGTTTTTGGAGGCTGAGCCTCCCCCGCGTTCCTGGGGGAGTAGCAGCAGGGAGGATCTGCTCCAGCCTTGGGAATGCTGAGTCTCTTGGCTTCCCCTGGATTGCACAGCTGGAGGAGGGGCCGTGCTCTCCTGACTCCTGTGTCTGGGAGGGGATTGTTGCTGCGAGGACTGGTCGCTGTCAGCAGATGAGGGAGGTGAGGGGTCAGCAAGAAACATGGGACTGACGGGCTCCAGGGAGATGCTCAGGCAGGAGGAAGGCCCCCACCTCTCCCCCCGCGGCCTGTGCTGCCTCCTGGTTGTTCCAGCTCCCTCAGGGCTGCAGTTCAGCAAACTGAGCCACGTGGGGGGTTCAGTTCCTCCGTGGCCCTTCCAGGTTCAAGACAGAGGTGAACTACGACACGCTGGAAGTGCGGGACGGCCGCTCCTACTCCTCCCCCCTGATCGGGGTCTACGACGGGACCCAGGTGCCCCAGTTCCTCATCAGCACCAGCAACTACCTCTACCTCCTGTTCACCACTGACAAAAGCCACTCTGACATTGGCTTTCAGATCCGATACGAAAGTGAGTGCGGGTTCTCGGGGTCATTCCGTGTTCTCCAGCAGCACAGCGGCCTCAGTCAGGGGCCCCTTGGATCTCCTTTTCCCTGTGCCAGGCAGTTCTCACTGCTCAGGGGCTGGGGAGGGAGAAGCTGCACTGCTTTGTGCCAGTGGAGGAGCAGTTTCTGCCTTTTCTGGAATCCTGGAATGGTTTGGGTGGGAAGGGACCTCAAAGCTCACCTTGTTCTAACCCCTCGTTGTGGGCAAGGGGCACCTTCCACTGGACCAGGTTGCTCAGAGCCCCTTCCAACCTGGCCTTGGCCACTTCCAGGGATGGGGAGTCCACAACCATCGACCAACTTGGCTGTTTATATAGAGTTTTTCAGTTTTTATTTTAGGAGGCAGGGATGAGTTCCCAGAATCCCAGAACATCCTGCCCTAGATCCCACACGGATCGTCAAGTCCAGCTCCCAGCCCCAAGAATCCCACCAGTTCCTCTCTCTATTCCACCTCTCACTTTGGGGGTAACCTGCAGGGTTTGGGGTGAGCTCTGGGAGGGGCTGAGCAGTGACTGAGGCTCTGTTGGCACAGCTGTGAAGCTCCAGTCCGACCACTGCCTGGATCCCGGGATCCCGGTGAACGGACAGCGCCACGGCAACGATTTCTACGTGGGAGCCCTGGTGACCTTCAGCTGTGACTCAGGATACACCCTGAGTGACAGCGAGGCCCTGGAGTGTGAGCCAAACTTCCAGTGGAGCCGCCCCCTGCCCAGCTGTGAGGGTAAGGGCACATCTGCAGGGGGGCAAACCCCGCCCTGGCACATCTGGGAATCTCCCAGTGACATCTGATCCGTGTGTTTTGTTTGATTTTTGAGGGGCTGGGCTTTGTTTTGCCCTCTGGAAGAGCTGATGCCCCTCATTAGGGGGTTGTCTGAGTGGTTTTGTTCTCTCTCTGCCCTGTCTGCAGCTCTCTGTGGAGGTTACATCCGTGGCTCCAGTGGTACCATCCTGTCCCCAGGCTTCCCCGATTTTTATCCCAACAACTTGAACTGCACGTGGACAATAGAAACATCCCATGGAAAAGGTGAGGAGCCTCCAGCTTGGAGCAGTTTGGGAGGCCTGAAGGATGGTGGTGAGTGGGAGAAAAGCTGCTCCCTGTGTAAACCAGTTTCTCTCAGCAGTGATGGTGCCCACGGGCTTGGCCAGTTCTGCCACCACCCAAACCTTGTCTCTGGATAAGATGCAGAGGATTTTGGTGTCAGAACTAGTCACCCTTTCAAAGTGGAGAGGATTAAGAGGGGAAGGTGGTTCTCTGTCAGCCACGACCTGTGGCAGGTGTTGTGTCCTGTTTCAGACCTTTGTGGCAGTATCCTGAAAATCAGGAAGAGAGAGAGAGATCTGTAGATCCAAATATACTGAAATACAGCATTTGGATACCTGGCAATGCCAGGAATGTCCCACAGAGGAGGGAGGAGCTGCCACTGCCACCCCTGCAGGAATGTTTGGTGGCCCTGCAGGAATGTTTGGTGGCCCTTTCAGGCTGATTTCCCTTTGCAGTGCTGGGTCACTGTCTGTGGAACATTTTACAGCTGGAGAAGTGGGAGCATGTAGGAAATCATTCCCAGACATGGGATAGGACCTGGGCTCTCAGTTCCCAGCTCTGCCTCTCCCCTTTTCCCACTACCCAGGAGTATTTCCAGTGCAGGTGTGTTCAGGCCAGGCTCCTGTGCAGGCCAAGCTCTTGTCTATTGGAGGAAAAGTTGAGGAAAAGTATCACTGATGATCAGAGAGCAGGTTTGATGAGGGGAGGGGGGTAATTCCCCACGATCCAGCAGCATCTCCTGGGCTCACACAGAGGATACAAAGCCTTTAGATGACTTTCTCACTCTTCCATAACTCTCCTGTCGTACCCGATACCGGCACGGCGGGAGGGCTCATGAGCCAATTTGCCAAATTCCATTTGTATTACAGCAAATAAACTTGTCAATGAACAGCACAGTGCATTAAGGGAACCATCACATGCTGGGAAAAGTGTTCTGTGGAGTGGCTGCAATCCACTCTCCAATTAATCCGCTCTGCCTGGGCTCCAGCTCTCCGGTGAGACGTTGTGTTATCCCGGAGCCCAGCTCAGCCCAGGGCACCAAACTGGCTCTGTTTGACATGAGAAAGTGCAGCTCTGATGGCCTGGCTGCTTTTATGTCAACACCAGAGGGAATTCTTCAGGCCAAGGCTGGAAAAAACCACGGGTTTTTTTTTGCTGGCAGGGATTTGTCTGTAAATCCAGGGGTGTTTGTTCTCTGGGCTGTGGGAGATGCTGCTGGGGCCGGTTCAGGGCAGAGGGAACAGCCCAGCCCTGCCAGCAGGGCACTGTGGGCACTCCTGGGCCATCCAAACAACTCTGCCTTGGGTCTGAGCATCCTGGACTGCCCTGTGGGCTGCTTTCCACAGCATCAAATTACAACTGAAGATTCCATTTATCCCTCCCTCTATCCAAGTGCTTTTTGAAGGTTTGCCGGTCACCTGGAAGCGTTTCCTTCCAAGAAATGGAGGTCAGAGAGGCTGGAGACCAACACAAAGCCTTTCCCATGGAACTGGGAAGCAGGAGGGCTCACAGGGACATCCCAACTTTATCCCTGTGCAGCAGCTCATTGCACCTTGATCACCTTCCCTGTCCCAGGCAGAAGGATTTGAATGACCCAAAGCAAAAGGGCTCCTCTTGACTTTGACAATTCCTTCTTTATACCCAAGTAAATATTAAATGGAGCCTGACAGAACATTTTTGGTTCCACTGGTGCCCCTGCAAAATTCCAGAGAGGCAGGAAGCTTCCAATAGTTTCCAAGTGTTTATTACTCCTACCAGTCAACTGAAAATAGATCTGACCTGGGAGTGAGATGTGGGGAGGGCAAAATGTCTTTAGTTCTCCCTGTTTATCATCTGAGAGGAAATTCATGCCCTCAGTTTTACCCAACCCAACCTAAGGAACAGAAATAATATCACCCCACGAAAATCAACCCAACACAAGGGCAGTTCAGTCCCCAGAGCTGGAGGACTGCAGGTTTTTTAAGGTAAAAACTCCAAGCACACGAGGAGAGCCAGTTAAAGGCTGTGGAACTGTTGCCATAAGGGCTAATTATAAACTCATTTTAAAGGATTTGTGACCGATTAAACCTTTGCTCTGGTCTGAAATTTACTGTGGCACAGAATGTCTCTGCAAACACAAGGTTGGTGTTTTGTTTTGTTGTTTTTTTTTCCTTCCCATTCTCTGCAGAAGAAACAGCAAAACAAATTATAGGGAGAAGAAATCACTTTGAAGCTCTCAGATTAAAAATAATAGTCTCCCTTTAAGCATTTAAATACCTTTAAAATTAAGCTGCTTTTAAACTCAAACTGTAGAGCTTGTGAGGCCATAAAGTAACTCAGTGTCTGCAGTGACATAAAAATAACTGTTGGAACAGCCAAGTTGGGGCAATTAAGGGACTTGTGTGCTGGCCACGTGTGGGATGTTCCCAAAGACCTGGGAGGGAAGAACCTGGGAGAGGCCAAAACTTCCTCCCAAGGGGCAGTGGAGGGGCAGGAGCTGATCTGTGAGCAGGGACAGGACAGAAGGGGCTTTGGGAAAAGGAAAACCAGAGCAAGGAAAATCAGAGAATGCTCGAGTTGTGTAAATGTGTTCCCTGCTGGGAGCAGAACTGTTCAAACTGCTGCTGGAGGGATGTGTGGGATGTGCAGGGATGTGTGGGATGTGCAGGGATGTGTGGGATGTTTAGGGGTGTGTGGGATGTGTGGGATTTGTAGGATGTGCAGGATGTACAAGATATGTGGGATGTGTGGGATGTGCAGGATGTGTGGGATGCGTTGTAGGGGTGTGTGGGATGTGTTGCAGGGATGTTTAGAGATGTGTGGGATGTTTAGGGATGTTTAGGGATGTGCAGGATGTACAAGATATGTGGGATGTGTGGGATGTGCAGGATGTGTGGGATGTGTGGGATGTTTAGGGATGTGTAGGATGTGTGGGATGTGTAGGATATGTGGGATGTGTAGGATGTGTGGGATGTGTAGGATGTGCAAGATGTGTGGGATGTGTAGGATGTTTAGGGATGTGTGGGATGTGTAGGATGTGTGGGATGTGTGGGATGTGTGGGATGTGTAGGATGTGTGGGATGTGAGGGCTGTGTCTCTCCAGATGGATTCTGAGGAGGGTGAATCCCAATCCTACGTGATCAGGGGCTCAGGAGCCCTGCCCTGGGCGCTCAGAAACCGAGCTGAGATACTGGGCTGAAAAAAAGCCATATAAATGCAAAGAGGCTTTTTATTGCTCGCCGTGGCTTTGCCTTGTTAACTCGCTGTGACGAGGATGTGACAGGGGTTCTGATCTCAGGTCCTGCCTGCCTTTGCTCCCTCCAAGCTGTTGCTGCCATTTTTTGGTGGTTTTTTTTTATTATTATTATTTTTTATTTTTTTCCCCCTTCAAAGATGGAATTATTTTCCACACAATAAGTGTTTCTAATGGCGTTTGAATTCCAGCATGAAAAAAAATCACCTCGCTGGAGGCTCCTGCAAAACCCTGAAGTGCTTCCCATTCTGTGTCTGGAGGTGTGAAGGATACTTTAAGTAATCCATTACTCCTTTCTAGCTCATTTACAAAATGCAGCAAGGTCACAGCCTTCTCCCAAAAAATGTTTCAAATTGTTGAAATTGAATTTGGGAGACGAGACAAAATACTTGTCCCGTGTTTGGCTGTTCTTTCTGTGGCTGGATCTGTTGTGGGGTTTATTTTTGGCAGTGTGATGTGAATAAAAGTGTAGGATTTTCTTGGAGCAACCTGCACTAGTGGGAGGTGTCCCTGCCCATGGCAGGGGGGTGGGATTAGACAATCCTGAAAGTCCCTTCCTACCCCAACCATTGCATGATTTTGTGATTCAGTCCCATCACGGGAAGGCAGGGAAGGTCCCTGCAGTTCCACCACTGACACTCTTCATCTTCTGGAAGAGCCTCTCTGACCTTGATACTTGGCATAAGTCCTATTTTTCCAGGTATGAATTCCTTCTGGAACATGCTTGTTTTCAAGTCCTCACAGCTACAGCTCTTGCTGCTCTTGCTCTCTATTTAAAGGTCAACACTGTTCTAATAAAACACCTCTCAGAGCTGCCAGGCTGCTCCTGCTGCTGCTCCTGCTGCTGTTCCCACATTTCCGAGGCACAGGAGTCCCCCATCCCCACTGCCTGGCTCTGTGCTGGGCCTTGTCCCACACCCTGGCTTCAGGTTTTTTATCTGTTTTGTTTCTAACACTATTTTCCGTGGGATGTCCCCCCTCACTGAGCTGCTCCTGGTGGGAATCGGGGTGGGCTCGGGGAGAGCCGTGGGGACCCCGGGAGTGAAACCACCTCTGCTCCTGCCTCCCCTGCAGGTGTGTTCTTCACCTTCCACACCTTTCACCTGGAGAATGGGCACGACTACCTCCTCATCACCGAGAACACCAGCTTTGCCCAGCCCCTGCAGCAGCTGACGGGGTCCCGCCTGCCGGCCCCGCTCAGCGCGGGGCTCTTCGGCAACTTCTCGGCCCAGATCCGCTTCATCTCCGACTTCTCCATGTCCTACGAGGGCTTCAACATCACCTTCTCAGGTAAGAGCAGTGCTGGGGGAAGAGTTAATCCTTTCCCTTCCCGCTTTGCTGCGGGTCACAGGATCACAGGACGGGTTGGGTCGGAAGGGATCTTAAAGGTTCTCCGCTTCCAACCCGGCCTTGGAGCCTTCCAGGGATGGAGCAGCCACAGCTTCTCTGGGCAACCTGTGCCAGGGCCTCCCCACCCTCCCTTTCCCATTATCCAAGGGTCATCTCTCTATTCCAGGTATTGCCTTTTAGGGGACAAGGAGGAGAGGGGAGAAAGGGTGAAAGCCTGGAATAAAATCTGGAAAAGCAGAGATGGAGGGAGATTTTTTTTTAACTGGAACTTGCTGCTCTTGGGCATCCACGTGGGATTTTTGGGCTGTGGTTCCTCAGTAGCATCATCCCGATGGTCCTGTGCCATGAGCCATCCCCCAGTGGAGTTTTCTTTCAGTGGAGGAGTTTTCTTTCAATGGAAAACACACTGATGCCCATTTTGCCCTTGGCCATTTTGTTTTCATTCCCTCTCCAAAGAGTTCCATGAATAATGTGATATTTGTTCTCTGCTTCCAGCCTGGCCTTGGACCCTTCCAGGGATGGGGCAGCCACAGCTTCTCTGGGTAACCCATGCCAGGGCCTCCCCACCCTCACAGGGAAGGATTCCTTCCTGATATCCCACCCAAATCTCCCCTTTTCCAACATGAATCCATTCCCACTTGTCCTGTCCCTCCAGGCTCTTGTCCAAAGTCCCCTTTAGGCACTGGAAAGGGCTCCAAGGTCTCTCTGGAGCATCTCTTCTCCAGGCTGGACACTCCCAGCCCTCCCAGCCTGGCTCTGGGGCAGAGGCACATCCAGGACAGGCTGCAGAGGTCGGTCACTGGCTGAGCATCCAAGTGGAGCAACGAACCAGAGGCACAGAGAGAGACCAGGCGGGTGATGGGAGTGACCAGCTCTGCCCTGCTCCTTGTCCAAGACGTCCAGATTGCTCAGCACTGCCCTCCAAAAGATCCCATCTGTCCCAGCTTGCCATGCTGGAGAGGCTGTACCTGCTGCAGTGATTTTCCTCGGAGAACCAGAGCAGGATTTTCCTCGGATAACCAGAGCAGGCTTGGGGGGAAAGAGGGACAGTGCTGCCCAGGGAGCTGGAACTGTGTCCAGAAGGAGAGAGAGGAGGATGAGGGGGAGGAGGGAGAAAGCAATGAACATACCTGCAGAGATTTAATTCCAGAGGGCTCAGTCCTGTCACCCCCCTGTGAACACTCCCTGGGTGGTGATCTCTGGCTGAAGGGCACCCGGTGCTTGACTGTGTCCTCCAACCTCAAGTCCTGCAGAGGACTCTCAAGCGTTTGCCTGTGCACACATTCCAGGGAATGTCAATCTTTGCTGCCTGAGTGCCCTGACAAGCCATTCCCCAAAAACAATCAGTTAAGGGACACGAGTTTATTGCCTGGGTGCTGTTCTTTAATGCATCTCCGTGTCCTTCCGAGTCCTGAGGCCACAGCTGCGAATTCAGCACTTGGGGCTGGAAGAGAAATGCCCATTTTTATTGTGGGAGCTCGGTGCTGACACACTCACTGAGGGACAGAGCTGTTGCCATAGATGCAGATAAAACCTGGTTTCCAGTGCCTTTGTTCTGGCCTCTGAAGTTCAGGGGATTTGCATGTGATACTCTGTGGAAACCAGTCAGAGAATTTCCAATTAACTTTCGTTTTGATGAGGGGAAAAATGGCCTTTTGCCTTTCAAAAGCTCGCCTCTAATTATAACTCTGATTTTCCATGTATTTGGAGGCCGCTTTCCTCTCTTGGAAAGCAAAGCTGGGAGCCAGTTATATTTTTAGCTCCCTTTACATGCATATATATATATATATTTATGTGCAGACTTTATACTTTGCAGGTCTGTTATTTTTTCACAAAAACAACCCTCCAGAGAGGTTTGCTCTGACGTGTTTTGTGGTCAAAGACCCAGTTCTGGCTCTCAGCCGAGATCCTACGTGACCTTTCTTTCAGCAGCAGCTCAAGTGTTTTCTCCTGCACTCCCCAAACAAGATGCTGCATCCATTCATTTCCAGGATTAGTAATGGAGAGGCAGCAGGAATCCCACCGGGATCAATCCATCTCCGTCTGCCTGCAGCAGAGGGGGAATGACAAATCTCCATCGTGCTTTGTCACCCCTGGTGTCACCTGGCTGGTTGTGTGACAGCAGGGACAGGGAATGGAACTTGTTGTGTTTTCAGGGGGGGGGTTGAATCGAGGGGCTGGTGATGCCCAGGGTGTCCTGGTTTGAGACCCCCAGAAATCCAATTTCCCAGTGCAAGCTCTCCCTCCCACAGCTCACCCCAGTGTGAGGGGTTTTTTCCAGACACAACACAAGACTCAGTATGGGGGGGAAGGGAATTATATCACAATTATTACACAACTAAATATTATAATACATTATAGACACAATCTTAACTCTCTCTCCTGTGGTAAAGCAATATTTACATTGGATCAAATCTCTTTTCCCTCCAATAAAAGTCCAGAAGGGAAGAAGGAAAGATCCTTTCCACTTTCAGAGCAGCAGTGTCTCTCCTCTTCCATGCAGCAGTCGTGGCTGGAGCTGTAGCTGGATCTCTCTCTCCATGACACAGGGACAGGGAATGGAACCTGGGGTGGTTTTGGGGGGGTTGAATCGAGGTGATGCCCCTGAGGGGGTTGAACGTGGAGAGTGAGATCCAGGTGGGTCTTCATGGCTCAAACAGGTCATCCATCCTCATGGATCCTGAGGTTCACAAAGCTCTGGAATCAGAACTTCCCTGCAGGTGGAACCAACACTTGGAGCTCCCTCCTCACCCTCGGGGTGAGGGTGGAACGTGAGGCATCACCCGCCGCCCCATAACTGTCTGTCTGTCCCTTCCAGAGTATGACCTGGAGCCCTGTGACGAGCCAGAGGTGCCGGCCTACAGCATCAGGAAGGGGCTGCAGTTCGGGGTGGGGGACGTGCTCACCTTCTCCTGCTTCCCGGGGTACCGGCTGGAAGGAGCCTCCCGGATCACCTGCCTCGGGGGGAGGCGGCGGGTGTGGAGTTCGCCTCTGCCAAGGTGTGTTGGTAGGTGGTCATGTGCTTTCATTTTGCTTGGTTGGTCCCGCTGTGCTGGCTGGTTGTAGGTGGGCAGGGATGGGGGGTGTCCCTCGGGGTGGGGGGTGTCCCTTGGGATGGGTGATGTCCCTTGGGATGGGTGGCATCCCCCGGGAGGGGTGATGTCCCCCGGGATGTGGTCGCTCCGCTCGTGGGGGGGTCGGTGCAGGGATGGGGAGAGGGAGCTGGGATGAGCTTTCAGCCCTGCAAGTCCTTTTTTAGCCCCTCCAGCCGTTAGTTACACAACAAATAAATAAATCTGAGGCCGGAGGAGAGGGAGGATTCCTCTGCAGCACTGAGCTGGCTCCTGGCTGTCCTCCCTGGGGGCAGATGGGGGGCAGAGACCCTTCCCTGGCAGGGCTGGGGAGCACCCCCTGCCCAGCCCACGGCACCTGGTAAAGGAATAGAAGTCCAACTTCTACTGCAGAAAGGCAGGAGGATGCTCCAGGCCTTGGCAAAAAGATGGAACATGTTTTTTTGTTGTACAGTTGAAGTAGGAGGTTGTTCAGAGCTCTGGTGCTGCCCGGAGCCAGGAGGGATTTATCCAGAGCAGGCAGGGCAGGTCTCTCACCTGTTTGCAGCGTGGCAGAGCCTGCCAGGGCCATTGTCCTGATCTGTGGGTGACCTTTGAGGGCCCTTGCAGAGCAGACATCCCCTCCAGAGCCAGCCTGTTCTCTCCTCTCAGTCCCGCGGTGCCGAATGCGTTTCCCTTTCCCGGCACTGCAGAATGCTGAGGTCACAGGGCTGCATCATCCTGCTGTGCCAGGCAGCTCTTCAGGGCATGAATAATAACCAGGCTGCAGATAAAGCTAATCAGGGGAACGGGAATCAAACAGAATCATTTACAAAGCTTTTCAGGCCGATCCTCAGAGCTCAGCCCTGCGTGGACACAGTGGCTGCCATTTCCCTGCTGCAGCTGGCTCAGAAGGGTTTGTGGTGACAGGTCGGGCTCTGTGGTGATGGCCCAGAGCTCTGGGCAAGGTGACAGCCCTGTCACAGCATCCCCAGCTCGTGTCACAGCGGCCCCAGCTCGGATCTCCGCGCTCACCCCGGGTGGAGATGGAAACTGGAGACTTGCTCGTTAAGATCACAGGAGATTTAATTGCTTTTCCAGGCACTCTGTATTCAGGTCCTGTTCTAGAGATGGTGAGGAGAGAACTGAGAGTGTTTTGTTCCTTTGTCCAGCCCCGCTGGCCAGGGCAGGAACTCTCCACACCAGCTGCTGCTTCCAGCAGATCCCGGGTGCTGACGTGTCCGGCACCATCCCTGGGGAATCTGGGCCAAAGGAGGGCCCTGCTTTTGGTACATGGCAAGAGAGGAGGAGAAAGTCCCCCCCAAAGTGCCTCCTCTGGGTGTATCTGCTGCTGCTGCTTTGACCCTTCCTTGGGGGAGCAGCAGAGGCAGTGCAGGTTCCCTGTGGGGAGGTTGTGAGGCAGAGATTGTGTCCTCAAACTTGTAATTAAAATATGAAATACAGAGGTGAGGGGTGGTTATTTTCCAGCAGCATTAAATTGTTGTCTCCTGACATCCAGGACAGGTTTGAGCCTCCGAAGCTGCCACCTCTTCCTTCTCTAAATGGCATCATTCTACCCAGTTTCGAGTCCCACAAACCTTCTGACTTCAAATCTGGCTCCAAGTCAGATGGTGTTTACAGTGCTCAGAGTGGAGGAGGAGGCAGGTCTGGAGAAGGAGGGGAGAAGTCTGACCAGGAAAATGTGATGGAGCAGGGACAGACTGCAGGTTGTAGGGAACAACAACAGGGAAAAGCCTCTTTCCTTCTTCCTGAGTGCAGGAAGGAGTGAGGAACTGTGGCCTTTGGAGGAATCACGTGCATGTGTGGCATGGCCAGAAGGTCCATGTGGTTATTAAAATGTGCTTTTGTGTCTTGGTGCAGCTGAATGTGGCTCCTCTGTCACTGGAACCCAGGGTGTGCTGCTGTCCCCCAACTACCCACTCAACTACAACAACAACCACGAGTGCATCTACTCCATCCAGACCCAGCCAGGGAAGGGGATCCAGCTGAAAGCCAGGACGTTTGAGCTGGAGGCAGGAGATGTCCTCAAGGTAATTCAGTGAAGCTGCCCCTGAGAGCAAGGTCTGAAAGGGAAGGGATGTTCTATTTAATGGAATTAGGTGGGACTGACCTGGAAAATGCCACCCAGGCCCAGACAGGGTGATGATCCCTGGGACAGACTCATAGCAGGACTGCTGACAAGCAGTCACCGCTGTGACATGAAGTGATTGCCACAGCACTCTGCAAGACAGCAGCAAAATCCCCAGGGACCCTCTAAACTTCAGTTCCTCCCTGCATAATTGCACAGGAAAAACTGGTAACACATGGGGAAGCTGGAGGGTTTTAGCTTTATTTTAGTACTTTTAAGAATCAAGGCTGATTTGTCCCGAAAAGGGGGTTATTTAAATGCAGAGCTCCAAACTCTTCAGCGTTGCCATAATCAGATTAATCTGCATTTACAAGCTTCAGGACTCTATGGAGGAGGAGACAAATCCAGGCTGAGTTTCTATTAAGCACAAAGCAATGGGTTTGAAGGAGGCATTAATATCACTGATGCTGAGCCATCTCCCAGGAACGCCTCTGTCCTTACTGAAGTGCCATATTCCTGCACTCCAAGAGAGCTGTAATCCACATATTTTCAGCTCACAGATGACTGGAAAGAGAGAAAGATTTCCAGTTAATGCAGAGAATATACTCGTTGTCAAAGGAATTATGTTCCCTCGCCGGGTTTGTCATCAACTTCTCATCTGCTTCCCGGGAAAGTTCCCATCGATCTCCACGAGCGAGGAGCTGCTCTTTGTCCTCCCGGAGAATCCTGCTGTCTGAAAGAAAGGAAAAACCCCATTTGGGCTTTTTCTTAACTAATAGCAGGTTCAAGGCTCATCTGTGAGTCGGTCTGGGGAGAAAATGTTTTTTCTCAGGAGCTGGTTCTTTGCAAAGAGAGATGAATTCGGGAGACAGCCCTGAGAGCAGAGCGAGCTCCGTGTAAGGAGGAGGAGGTGGATCCTCCAGGGTGTAAATCCTGCTCCTCAGCTGAGCAGCACCGTGGAGTCTCATCAGGACAGACTCTTTATTTCACTTCAGAGGCTTTGTCCCTGTTTGCACTTGTGGATCATGGATGGGTTTGGGTTGGAAAGGACCTTAAAAACAACTTTTTCCACCCTCTGCCCTGGGCAGGGACACCTTCCACCGTCCCAGGCTGCTCCAACCTGCCCTTGGACACTTCCAGGGGTGGGGCAGCCACATTCTCTGGGCAGTGCTGGTTTGGTCCCTGAAGCAGTGATTAAAACCAGGTTTTCAGTCCGTGTTTCTGGTCCCTCCCAGGTCTATGATGGCACCAACAGCTCTGCCCGGCTGCTGGGCACCTTCAGCCGCTCGGACATGCTGGGCACCAGCATCAACAGCACCTCCAGCTCCATGTGGCTGGAGTTCATCACCAACTCTGCCAACACCAGCAAAGGCTTTGAGCTGCAGTTTTCCAGTGAGTTTTAAGCCCACGTGCTCGTGTGGTGGGGTGAAGGGGTGTTTCTCTGCCACAGTTGCATGACCAGGGCAAAGAGCCCTTTCCATAAAGATCTTACACCCTAAGAGGAATTGGAGTGTGGGAGATCACAGAATCCCAGGATCACTGAGGTTGGAAAAGCCCTCCCAGCCCCTGGATCCACCCTGTGCCCCATCCCCACCTTGTCCCCCAGCCCAGAGCACTCAGTGCCACCTCCAGCCCTTCCTGGGACACCTCCAGGGCTGGGCACTCCAAACCTCCCTGGGCAGCCCCTTCCAAAGCCTGACCAGCCTTTCCATGAGGAAATTCCTCCTGGTGTCCAACCTGACCCTTGCACAGCTGGAGGCCATTCCCTCTCCTCCTGTCCCTTGTTCCCTGGAAGATGATTGAACCTTTTCTGTGGCCATACAGAAATTCGGATTTAAAGCCGAGCCACCAGATTTCTGGGACCTCACTCAAACATTAATTACAAAAACCCACTGATTTTCAATATGCTGCCTTTGGGGCTGTGTTAACATCTCCTGGCTGGGAAATACCTGATGCAGACAAAGAGCTGCCCTTCCTCTCCCTGCAGGTTTCGAGCTCATCAAGTGCGAGGACCCCGGAGTGCCCCAGTTTGGGTACAAGGTGCACGACGAGGGACACTTTGCTGGCAGCTCCGTGTCCTTCAGCTGTGACCCCGGGTACACCCTGAGGGGCAGCAGGGTCCTGGGCTGCCTGACTGGCGAGAGGAGAGCGTGGGACCAGCCCCTGCCAACCTGTGTAGGTGAGACACCTCTGGCTCTTCAAACTGAGCATCACCTCGAGACCCACCAGGGCCCTTTGTCCCTACTTTTTAATGACACATGTGTCATTACCTCTGATATTAATGCATTAATTAGAGGATCCTGTGCAAGGCATCTTCAGGCTGAGAGCACTCCAAGCAGTTTTAACATGAAACATTCCTTTTTTGTTGTTTTTTTTTTTTTTTCCCACTCCTTGTCCTTTCACTTGGACACGTTAAACTTGAGTGGCACCTTCTGATAATGCCAGGCATCAACGTGTGCCCAGGCATCTGCCAGCTCAGAGTCAGGCCTGTTGGAGAGCTGCTTGGCATCTGATCCCACTCTCAGACATTTTAATTCCCCCCCCCCATCCTTCCTAAGCCAAACCCTGAGTTCCCTTTTACCTGGAGATCTTCTTGCTTGGAAGATTGTGATATTATTGGGTGTCCAAATGAAGGGCTGTTGCTCTGGGACTTGACAGCTCCATCATTAGCTGTGTCCAGGACATGGGGAGGTTCTTGCACTCTCTCCAACCAACTCCACAACTGCCCTCGTGGTTGTGATGTGCCAGACACTGCCACTCTGCCCTCCCCTGAGTCGGGACCACTCCTGCAGTAACTCTTTGCTGAATTTTTTGCTGATTATTGAGGTAAAAATACAAATTTCTGTGATTTGTGTGTCTTCTTAACCTTCACCCTGTTTGCTCTGCATTTATTGTGTGTGAGGCCGTGTCTGAGCTTCTTAAGAAAACCTTAAGAACTGAAAGTTAAAGAATTTTAATGGCTATGTTACAGAAATGACTCAAAATCCTCCCATTCTTTTGGAGTTCATTTACACAGACACATGTTGGGCTTCTTTGTTTTCCCACACTGATGAATACAGACAGAAGACTTGAGCTGTCTCACCCCCCATGAGTAGACTGGGGGAACAGGATGCTCCCCACAGTCAGAAAGGTGGAGGGAAGCTTTGACAGCCCATCAGATCTGCACAGAAATGCAGAATTATTCTGCCAGCTCAACCTTTTCGCTGAATTAAATTCCCTTTATCTTTGCTCTGGGGGCTTTAAGAATCCCTGGGAAGGGCAGGAAATACTCCCAGTTGTATTTGTAGGAGGAGATTTGTGTTGTTGCCTTGAATCTGCCCCCTGACCCCTGTGTCTGTTCCAGCTGAGTGTGGAGGGACCATCAGAGGAGAGGCCTCGGGGCGGATCCTGTCCCCGGGTTACCCGACCCCCTACGACCACAACCTCAACTGCATCTGGACCATCGAGGCAGAGCCTGGCTGCACCATAGGGTGAGTGGGACTTGGCTCTCCTGGCACATCCAGCTGATTTTTCCAGAGCCACAGTTCCATAAAGCAAGTCGGGAGAACGTCCCGTGGCTCGGAGGGAAGGGTCGAGCCCTGGTGCAGCTCCTGCCAGGCTGGGCAGGGTCAGGGATGGTTTGGGTTGGAAGGGACCTTAAAAATCATCCAGTTCCAAACAGGGACACCTTCCACCAGCCCAGGTTGCTCAGAGGCCCTGAGTGGCATCACTGCTCCTTTCTTTTCCCAGTTCCAGACAGGGACACCTTCCATCAGCCCAGGTTGCTCAGAGACCAGAGTGGCATCACTGCTCCTTTCTTTTCCCAGCTGTGGTGTCCTGGATGGTGCCACAGCTCCATGTGCTGCTGCTGCCTGTGGTGTTACCAGGTCCAAACAACACCCCAGAGCTCCTGTGTGCACCTACAGTGAGAGCTTCCCACCCCTCTCCTCATGGGATGTACTGAGAGTCAAACCTTTCCCACCACGTTGGTGTGGAATGTCCCAGCAGTGACATGATCCTGAAGTGAGGATGTGTGCAGGAAGTTGCAGGGAATCATCCCAGGAAAGGTTCAGGGAAGGTAATTCTGGGTGTGCTTCATCTCCCATGCAGAGATCAAACCCTGCAGGGGATGAGCTCTGCCCTGCTGTGTCTGGGAGAGGGAATGTTCAGGTGTGAGGGTGCCCAGGGGTGGGTGGGCAGCTGGAAAACTGAGGCCCCAGGGCCCAGCCTTCATCTCCTCCCTGCATTGTTGATTGTTTTAATAACACTGAGAGCACACACAAAGCCATTATCCTCCTGAAGGATGACTTGAGGTTGTTTCTAAACATCTGCTCTGTGCAGAGACCCGAGACTGTTCCCTCCTCCTGCTCCTCTGACTTCTCTTCCCACCCCGTTGCCACTTCCCTGTTGGAAATGAGTTGGAAATGGAATTTGTTCATGAGTTATGTGACTCTGGGTAAGGATGGGATTGAGAACATTTGGCTGGTGAGGTTGGTGCAGTCCCCAGCAGAACCCAGGCAGTTCCTGCTCCGTGATCCTTCATCTCTGATCCTGCTGCTTCCCCACACGGATGTTTCCCAGCCCTGCTCTGTGTGTGCCCACATATTTCAGCCCAGCTAAAGCCATTTGAGACAGAAAACTGGAATGTTTGGGCAAGTAAAGCTTTTACCAAGTGGTGGGGCTTGAGGGGGAGAGAAATGGAGCTTCAAAGTTCTGTTTAAAATAATCCTCTTCTCCCACTGTCCTCCCACTGCAGTTCCTGGTGCTTGTGACCTGTGCCAGCCCCATTTCAGGGGCTGTTCCACCCTGCATTCCTTCACTCTCAATCCCATTTTATCTCCCATTTTGTCTTCCTTGCTGCATCACCCCCGTCCTCCCTTCAGTGGAGCCTGTTAATCGGGTTGAGCTCTGTGGTGCTTTTAGTCGATGGGTTTCTGCTGGAGATAGATTTGGTCCAGTATTTTCATTTTTATTTAATGCAGAAATTCCCTCCATTAGCTCTGCCCTTTGGAATGGCTCAGTAATGGATGGTTTCTGGGGTGAGCAGCCAATGCAGCTGAATTGCAACTTCCAGTTGAAATCTCCTTTATTTTTATTCTCCTGTAAAAAGATTCTGAAGATTTTTATAGGACAAAGCAGACATGAGACCCTCCTTTCCCCCCATCCAGTGGCAGCCTCAGGCTTGGCTCATGTCATCCCTAAAATCAGGGAGCAGAGGAGAGATTTTGGATCAGCCAAAGGCTTGGAAGGGGCCAAGGCTGAAGTGAAAAATGCTGGGTGGTATCACAGCAACACACCTGGTGACCCTTCCTCTCCTTAGAGGTGAGAGCTCCCTTCTCCTGCCCCTTTTATTTGCCAGCTCAGACAGAACAGATGATCTCTGGGGAGTCGAGAGAGCACATTTTCAGCAACTTCATTTTTATGGTAATCCACTGGAAAAATAATCCTCTTCACGCATGGTACAATTGTATAAAGCTCTCATTTATAACTTACATGAAAATTAATCACCAGAGCTTTTTGAATAAAGCTGTATCTGCACACAGCACGAGGGGAAGGGGAGAGAGAGGCGAGACAGAGAGAAAAATGAGTCTGCACTTTATTGCCATGAAAGTTAAAGGGTTGCACTCGGAGAGGGGATTAATTTTGTGCCTGTGCAAACACCCTCGTGCATAAACATCACAGGGGAAGGGACTGGGTTTGCCTGGGAGGCTTTGGGGAGGGGGGGAGAAGGAAGGGAGGGAAGGAGGAGGATGCCAGGATGCTCCTGAGGAGCTCCAGGTGGGATCCCAGCCCTTTGCTGGGATGGGCAGAGCTGGGATGGGGAATGGCAGCAGAAAGCCCCCCCCAGGTGGGTCAGTGGGGTTGGGGGGTGCTTTGGGAAGAGCTGGGGCTAAAAGGGCTCCCCAGGGGTTATTCAGGGCAGAGCTGGGCTCTCCTCTCTGTTCCTTGCTGAGCTGGCAGAGCTTTCCCTCCTTCACACAAATATATATGGATATATGTTCCCAATTTCTGATTTGCTTTTTGCTGCATTTTCATGCATGTAATTGGGATTGTCAGAGCACAGGGATAAAGCTCTCCTCCTCTCCACTGCCTGCTAAGCCAGTGTCTCTGCCTTGTCCCTGCTGGGAACAGAGTCAGGCTGAGAGAAAACTCACAAGTGGCTGTTGAATAGATGGATTTGCTCCAGAGAACACCGGTTTTCTCCATAAAATCTGATATTCCAACAGTCTGCTGGACCAACTGGCACTGAGTAACCTGTCCCTGGCTCACCTGGACATCCTGCTGTGCTCTCCTCCCAGCAGAGCTTTGCCTGAAGTTGGTTCTTCCAAACTGAACGAGGGGGGTGAGATTCTTCAGGCAGCCCTGGCCCCACGGGGAGCTGCTGGTGGCAGCTCCAGGCTGTCCCCCCAGCCCAGGTCACCCCCTGGCAGCATCTCCCTGGCTCCAGTGACTCCAGCCCTGGGTTTTTCCAGCAGTTCTGGCTCCTTGGGCCCCCTCTGCCTGAGCACAAACGTCACCAGGCCGAGGCAGCCGTGGAGAACAGCTCTGCACCATCCATCCTGATTTTCTCTCCAGTCTGCCTTTGCCTTTCTCTTTGCTCAAGGTCTCTGCTGGGTGGATTTATGAGTCAGCTCTTCAGGTTTCTCCCAGCTTCTGTGGGCATCATTTTGTTGCAGTGGGGGCTTTTTACCCCCCCTCCCCTTTTTATGGTTCTACCTGATTTATTTATGTTTGCCCCGGATAAATGGGAAAGCAGCCAAGTGAATTCTCCCTCTGTGGACAGTCAGGGTTTTAAGCACAGTACCTGCTGGTTTTATTTTGTATAGATTTTTTCCCTTTATAGGTTTCTGTCCCCATTTCATGCTGGGGTGGCTCAAGTTGCCTGTTTTTGTTGTGTCAGAGGGTCTGTCCCCCAGTGCTAACAGGGCAATCACAAACAGGGGCAATTCAAGGCCTCCTCTTCACTTGGCATTTGAAGTGCAGGAGTGGAAGGGACTGATCCCTGACCCATCACCTGCATCCCCAGGGAGGTGATCGTGGCCCCAAACCTGCCAGAAATCAAGGAGTGTTTGGACAAGGCTCCCAGTGACAGGGTGGGATTGTTGGGGTGTCTGTGCAGGGCCAGGATTTGGACTTGGATTATCCTTGTGGGTCCCTTGCAGCTCAGAACATTCCATGATTCCGTGATTCCAGCCTTTAGCTGGTGGCTCCCTCAGCCTTTCGTGTGTGGCAGCTGCTCATTGCAATGTCTAAGCCCCTTTGGTTGTAAAACCAACAGTCTGTTCTGGCCAGGGACATTTTCACTGCCCACAATGGACCTTTACCTTGTTCCTGAAAACGCTTTTAGGAGAGATCAGCAATTCTGTTTGCTCAGGAGAGGACCCACTTCCAGGGCTCCTCAGGTTTCTCAGAAGGAAGGTTTCTCAGAAGGAAGGTTTCTCAGAAGACATTACTGTTCCTGACTGGGCTGGGTTTGGTTCATGGATGTGATTTATCAGGGAGGAATTGGGGTTGGGTGAAGGACCGACGCAGTTATTCCAGGCTGAGCTGTAGATGAGGGAACACATTCCCTGTGGGCCAAACCACCTCAGGTTGGTACCCAGCACATCCCTGATCCTTCCAGAGCTGTCTGTGGTCTGACTTGCGGTTGGTTTGCCCCCCCAGGCTCCACTTCATGGTTTTCCACACCGAGGAGTTCCACGACGTGCTGCGGATCTGGGACGGGCCGGTGGAGAAGGGGATCCTGCTGAGGGAGCTCAGCGGGTCGGGGCTCCCCGGGGACGTGCACAGCACCTTCAACTCCCTCATCCTGCAGTTCAACACCGACTTCTTCACCAGCAAGCAGGGCTTTGCCATCCAGTTCTCAGGTGGGCAGCCAGCACGGGAAGGACCTGGGTTTGGAGCCGTGGGAGGACACTGAGGGCACTTGGTGTGTTCAGCTGGAGCAGAGGAGACTGAGGGGAGACCTCA